CTCTGCCTCCGGCCGCCCACTCACACCTCCGTTCTCTCCTTCATTTTCGCTAGCATCCGCGACCCTGCCCTTGCCCTCATCCTCGCCGACACGTCGGCTCCTGCAGCCGCGCCCGACCACGTTCTCCGTTTCAAATCGGGAGAACTTTCCGCCGAGCTTCGTGGATCCCCGAGATCCCGCTGTGTGCTTTCGATGCCACTTTCCTGCTGAGGTTGAAGATCCCTTCTGGGAAACTGGCGTTTGGGCAACCGACGGGCACTGGGTCAACTCGAGCTTTGTTTTAGCTGGCTCTTAAAGAGTGTGGAGCGTAACAGCTAATATTTGTTTCTCAAATTGGCGTTCCTTGTTGGGCAGAGGGATCAAAGCGGTAAACTTGAGTTGGAGTGCATTGTATCGTTCTACATCGTTTTGTTAGAACAACAAAGATCAATATTTGGGTTTTGCAGGATTTGTGAAACTCAGCTTTTGTGAAAGCAAAGTGAATTTCAATGAGGAAATGGTCCAGGAGGAAGAAATGTAATTTTCAATTGCTAATCTCACAATAACCCACAGGTATATCAATTTTATTGGTTTTGTACATAGAATTGTGGTAGAAGTGGAACGCTAAAATAGCTCATGTAACCTCATCACTTTTTGCGGTATTAAATCAATCTGCATAAACAATTGCAAAAAAAAATATATATCAAGAAATGATAGTATGATACGAATTACCTCACATTTTCAGTTTTATTTTTTGAGTATTGAAGCACTAATTACTAGTATAATAAAGAGCTATCATTAGGGTTTTAAGGTCGTTCATGAAAAATATTGATGTAAAACGTATTAATGGAAACTAATGAAAGGCATTACACTGTTTCACAATTTATGGTAAATTAAGCAAAATGTTTCAATAAAAAATAAACTTTTGCAGTAATATTAGTCGCGCAGGTTATGATATATGATTCTTTATTACGTATTCTTCCCATAAAACGCCTGTTCTTTTGACAAATTATCGTCATTTCGCCTTTTGCAGCCCTTACTTTCTCTAATGAAATACGTCGTCACACCGCTGGTCAATATTTGCTGTGTACTGAGGTTGCCTGCATTCCGTACAGAGGCTTGCCTTTGAGTGCGTTCTGAAAGAAGCAACTGTAAGGTAGCAACCAATGCGTCGTTCATACTCGAAGAGAAAACATCCCCTGTTAATTAAGATCTTTCCGGAGACGTTAGTTACACGGACGACTTTTCCGCTCCCCTCACTCCCATGTATTCATCAAGGCCACAATCTGATCTACTACGCCGGTGTGACATTGTGTATGACCCGGCAGTACTGCCTCTGAAGGTATATCGAGCCAAAATTAGACTTGCGCTTTAGCTTCGTCAAAGTAAAAAAAAATGGTCGGTTGGTATGTTTTTTGTCCAGGTTGTTATTTTCTTTTGAGCAGGGGGCATAACATTAGTTCGATGCTCTGTGGCCTTCCTCCATGAAAGATCAACCCAGCCAGCCTTTTGGGGATTGTGTTTACTCGCCCACTTTCGAAAGCGCCCTTTGTTGACAGAGGCGTCGATGTCACCGAGGCCTGTGACGAAGAGCCGTTCACCGCTTAGCCGTGGATGGGAAGATGAACAAAACAACTTTCCATAAATGATAGCATTTTCTAAGTCACGTCATTTCTCCAAGAGGTTTTGCTATTTGCCAAAGTATATGGTATTCACTAATGCTTATCACGTACTTTATTGTTAAGAATTTAATAAATGCGGGAAAATGAACACAACTACTCTAAAAGCTTTCGCTTATTAAGAGCAAGAAGTTATTTTAGTCTACCCAAATAATTAGTCATTTGTTGTTACGGCAATAACAAATATGGTTGGCTCTTCAAGTTATGTGGAGTATAGAAAATGCTTTTTCTTCTCTTTCTTTTTGTAAATTATTGGTGGATTATATTTGTAATCGAACGACTAATCGTTTTAGTATTATGTAGGGTTTTTTTGCCAAATAACAAATTATAATGCAACATTTTAAATTTTCGCACTATTGAAATTCGATTATGAATTTTAATGTTCGTAAATGTGGGTTGATATAGGAAATTGTGCAAAAATGACGGAAAAATTATTTCTGAAGTGCTGAGACGAATACGAAAACGAATTTAAGGAAAATAGATTAAATAAATCATTCATCAACCTACAGGAATGCAATTCTTTGATTTTGATCTCTATTATGATTAATTACACAGGCCGGGATGAATTTTTCTTTTTTGATTTTGTCACTTGTTTTTTACGTAAGTTGATAACCTGAATCAAGTAATGCTCTTACTTTTGTATATCACATCATAATTTTTAATAATTTTGGTAATGTGATCAAAGAGAGATTGAAAAGGTACACATTATCTTCAATCGGGCGTTCAATGCCTTCTAAATGGTTCAGAGACGCATTGCGACTTTTTTATTAACCATTACTTATATTTTTAAAATGTTATGTTTTAGCAGTAAAGATACCTGCATAACTTTTTCGATTTTCGGGACCATAAACTCATTATACTAATTTTATCCAAATATGAATGAATTCCTATGCATTTCTGGCGGGTATGACATAATTATGTGGTACGAACAGTTAGCACTGTTACTGCACAGAAGACTGCACATTGAAAAAAATTTACTTTTCTATGACGTCTTCGAGCCAATTATACGAAATACTCACTTGAAATTATTGAACTTGAAAAAGTGAATAATGACTTATTCACCTGTTAATTGAAATCTTCGAAATTTAACCGTTCGATATTTTTCCTTTGTCGAATGATGTCGATGTCGATTGTCAATATCCGAACATCATGCTTCTGGTACGACGTATTTACAAAACATGTTTCCATCAGGCTACAATTTTCTTTAACGGCATACTTAGTGCTTTCAAAGAAAGAAAATCGGTTTTAGAAATGGCCTCTGGGTACATTTAAAGCACAACCAACGCATCTCGCGGCTTGTGACGAGCCTTCAGGGCGATTTGCGGAATTGCACGCGACGTGCAGATGCTGCTCTGATAGGAACTTCTGAGCCGGCACGATGGCGGCGGAGTGGACCCACGGGGCCAACTCGGGTCGCTCGCCGAGTAAACATAGCACGCTCGGAAGAGAAAGGCTAATATTAAACAGTTGTTCAACAGACGGCCGACGCGGGATAAGCGCCGGCCAATAAGTATAACCGTTGGTAAACGGCAATGTCCACGGCAGATGGCTGAGAAAGTTGAATGAGCCCGATAGCTGTGAGGAATCGACGAAAATAAACCCTGAACCATTTACACGACACGTCAAGAGTATATTCCTCTGGTGGTATTGAAAGTGCTTTTTATTTTCCGAACATTGGCTGTGATACGGCTGTAATAGTTCTTGGTTATTCACATTAATAAACCTGTACTCAGGTTCATAGCATGCCACGTCCTGCATTGTCCTTAAAGACTCGTTTAGAGTCCGCGGCACAGCAAGGCTGTTTCCAATCCTTGGCTTGGCTTAGCCGCAAAACTCGTTTGGGAGTCCAGCGCAGCTAGGCTGGTGAAACGGTGTGTAGCACTGGGACTTCTGACGGCAAGCACCGAGAATCCCTGACAACCCGCAGTGTTTGGGATTCTCTTTCAATTTTGAAGTAGTTTATCATGTAAAAAATTATGTAACAAATTTTGTTCTAAACAAAATGTTACCGCCAACTGTTAAGTATCATTAAAGTTATTCCTCATTATTACTGCAATACCACGTGAGGCTTTTGTAGAAACACATCAAATAATAGTCTACTGATGAGATAGTTGTCGAGAGAGAGGGTAGCAAGCACGTCGACGGCGTCATGAAATAGAACTACGATATTTGCTGAAATATGTAACGATGTATTACCTTTATTCAGTCCTGTTTCCGACTCGCAGGATGATACCGATCAAATCATAATCTTTTCAAACTACTGCTTTTGTATCACTTGCTTTTCAAGTGCAAATCAAGGGCTTTTTTATTTTCTGAACACTGGGCTGTGACATGGACGTTGTAATAGTTGTGAGTTATTCACATAAAGAAACCTGTACTTAAGTTCATAGCATTGCAGAAACATCAAAACAATTTAAGTCCCTGTGGACTTAGTCCATCAACCAAGAAGTTATCTCTAATTCAACTTCAATGTGTTTAGATTTTAGCTCCGCCACTAAAGCGTTGAACATATAACATGTAGATATATATGACTGCATCATCCGGAATAATACGGCACGATACAGCATACAAAAATAATCTTGTTTTGGTTTGATTAATAAAGTACAGTTTTGGAAATTACCGATACGATATTATTTAAAACAATGTGAAAATGTAACTGATGTGAACATGTCCACCTTCTCATGTATGTGTATGTCTTTTGGCGTACAATAGTAGGGCCACAAACAATATTTCTGCTGTCATTAATCACACAATTAAATCGCGACTGAAATTTTCATTTGTTTCTCATATAATTTTAAATACCATGGTTTCTCGTAAGCAGTTTCGGATTTGGAGGCCATCGCAGTGCAATTTGCAGCTTTTACTTCCCAGAGAATATCCGGTACGGAATTGTTTCTCGATTTTGCATTTTACATTACACACACATGCATGATAGGTGACTATCTAGCGAGTAAAATAAAAAGTGACGCTCAGACCATCTTCATCAATATTTTGTGGACGAATCTTTTCACTTAAATCGTACGCGGAGGGAAGAAAGAAATAGAGCTGATGTTAGTCCAAATTAAATATTTATAAAAAGAAATATGTTTATGCAGTTACGTTGTTGTTTTCTTGTCAAGTGTCCTTTCTCTTATCTGAATAGTATTGGCAATCGTACTTAGCACCATATTCTGTGATCAGATCTCGGAAAGGCGTAGAACAGTAGCATTCTAGTCCACACCCGACTCTTGCGCGTTCCGCATAGGCAGGTGAATTATGATACAACCTGCCCTCGTGGGAGACGTCGATTCTCACCATAATAGCAGCTTTATCATTTGTAGAATTAGCAAGTGGAGAAAGTTATTATAAATCTATAAATTAATTACTTTATTTTTAAATGAATTGATACCTGTTAATTGACAGTTCAGAATTTGAACCCACGTTATATTGTTGTTATAAATAATAATAATAATAATAATAATAATTTGAACTATGTACTTGGAAGATGAACTATGTTCTCAATTTTCGGGTCTTGAACGATGTAAATAATCGCTAAAACGTCTGCCTTCTTTTGTAACGAGTACAGTTGTACATAATGCTGCCGAAAAAAATTTGAAATATTATTCATTAATAGAAGCGGAGAGGGCAATTACAGACAGGGGACAATAAGACTCCCTCCCATAAATTAAAAAAAAGATAATTTTTAAGAGAATGAATTCATTTTTGAAACTAGCTGAACTACCCTACGGTCCTCGTTTATTTATCATGCTTCCTAGCCTGTCCCGTCTCTCACCAACCTGCCGTGTTTGTTGTGGACATGGTTACTACAGCCTTCATTGCTACGGTATCTGTATACAGATATATTCTTACATCCAGTTGCGATTTTGACCTTCAATAATTAATCTCAAACTTATCGCGATATTGGAATCAAAACGCATTTTGTAGGTAATTTTATGATATTTTAGAAACGTTCAATTCGCTTTGAATTCACTCAGCACTTTCAAGATTTGCTAAAATTTGAAAAAGCGTACTCATAAGTATTGATCTACGTGGTAGGAAAGGATTCCGGAATACTTGTTATGAAATATCATACGGACGGACCGGGAGAGATGGTTCAGGGCATCAACTGATGTCATATGACCGGGTGGTCTTAAGTTCGAACCTCGACTGTGGCAGAATTTTCGACTCTAGCTTGTCAGCTAGGTCAAATTCAGTCGCCGTCTGGAGGAGAATTATATCGGCTGCTGATCTAATAGGTAGTTTTCCTTGGTTTCTGCGATCGACACCAGGTGAATGCCGGAGTAGAACCCTAACAAATGGGCCACGCACCGCGCCCGATGGTTCCTTCCCTTTCCTTGTCCTATCTCCATACCTTACGTACACTTACATGCGCTACACTACCATTCATATCGGGAGACCGGTGGGAAGCTTAGAGCTTGTCCCGGCTGGGGTGGTGCCCCGCTGGTGGGAGATAACTGGTTGGGGAAACTTATGCTACCCGGCGGTAGGTCGGCGCTGGATCTCGCCATACAGCGAGGGGAAGACCACCGCCAATTCCCGAGAAAACATACACTACACCTACGGGACTAATGACTGTTAGTTGACACGTCCGGAATCGCTAACAATCAATCAATCGTACGGACGGGAAATTTTTTCTTGTTCTGAAGCACAAAGTCACACGCATAGAATTTCCTTAAATCGGAATACATCTGCAGATTTGAATGGTAAAACAAACATTTTTTTGTAATGCAATCAAAAATAATTTTAAAAATAGTCTAAATTATTTTCATCATACGTTACGGTGAAAACTGCATCGAAATCAATTCAGTCGTTCTAAAAATTACCACTTAAGAACGAACACAAAAATAAGAGATTAGATTAATTGAGATTAAAAAGGGCAGTTGTTTGAAAACACAGACACTCCAATTGTGTTTGTATAAATGATGATGCCCGCTCAAGGTTAATAGAAAAAGTCCTTTGGACTGTGGCACGATCATTGTATCAATTATTTTTAAGAAATTGAGTAAAATTCTGTTTCAAGTGTGTCATGTACCTACGAAAAATTGGAACCAAGCTCCTTTTGAGATACAAGCACATGCTACTTTTTGTTATATGTATGCAGATCTGTCTGATCTGTGAGCTATTATTTCGCACGGTTATATGGCAGAAACAATATCAAGCGCCCATGAATTACAGGTGATGTTGAAAAGACATCACGTTTTTTTAAAACTTTTTACTATTGTAGTATTATAAAAACATTCCTGGGAATAATCCTGGTAATTCCGTGGTTTGTAGACTGCAAAATTAGTCTTCCGTCTACAAGATATTTGTGGTATCCTTGTTGGCGATGAAATTCTGATTCCTTTGAAATTCTTCCAATTTAGAGATAGTAATTGTTAGAACTTCAACTCGGATGTATTACTAGCAACAATTCTTAAACTTTCGAAACATGAATTTAAAAAAAAGTGTTTTCTGGTAGTTTAAAGCAAATGCACTGTGGCAACATTTTTCTCTTTTGCTCCGAAAATGAATAAGTACGTGTATCAGCTAGTAGGAAAGTGGGATTATTACTATCTATGAGGGATATTGGTTTATTACAGTTACGATATGGTCTGTAAATGACAGCAGTTTCGGTACACCTTATAATAGGCAAAACTTGCCTGTCATCCTTATTGATTGATTAGTACTAGAGATGAAAAAAGAGTTTTCGAGCGAAGACAGCGTACTTTACAATTTTTTATTTAATGTCAATAACTGTTAAAAATTATAACAAATTAATGTAGCTAAACACAAAAAGACGTCACATCGCAAAAGACACAAAAGACGTCACACAGTTTTTAGATTTACAAGCAGCCGTTTATTGCATCATACACAAATCTGGGAACTAACGTTTACCACACAGAAAACTATCATAAACTTATTGGATACATGCGATTGGGTCAATCTGTCCGTATTCTCTGTTAAAAAGTAGTCTAATAGTCGTTCTGGCCATCAATTTTTTGCAGACAATTACTGTGTTGATACATGACCAACATACTGCACATGTCATATTTTTTTCATTTACATTAAAATGTTTTTATTAGAAGTACATTTCTTCAGTACTATAAGTTTCCGGAATAAATGTTGCCCTGTCATCAGATTCCTTTCAATTAAATTGAAATTTTTTTGTTCTGTTTTTGGAAGTGGAAACACCAACCTAGTAATTTTTCAGTTCTGCCGTCTGAGGTAATTATCACACAAATATATAAAATTAGAAGAAAATCGTAAGCGTTGACGCTGTTATTACTTCACAGACCTGCACTGTGAATGGAAGAGGACGATCTTGACTAAGAAATGTTCTTCGTCGCAGTTATTTGTCACGTGTCTAGTGCGTTTCAAATGTGTTAAAAACTCCCTCTAGCGTGAGGGTTTCATTTAGGAACTTTTGCAATGCCTATCTTCCATTTCTTACCGTAATGTCGGAAAACCGATGCATCTTCCGGTGCCAACGCCTCAGCTCGCCGATACCAACGCTCCGCCTCCCTTAGTCTTGAGGCCTGTAAACATAATGTGATAACTTCATTATTTTCCATTTTTGCTCCTAGCACGTGGAAATCTTACAGGTAGGTGCATTTACTACAACAGCCATAGAAATATGAGTGAAAGAAAAAACATTGAGAAGCGGCACGAGAAAAAAATGTGTGGATTTACTTGTAAGTAAGAACTATAAGTACGACATAAATCCCCCCCCCCAAAAAAAAGGAATAATTTTAATTTGATAATGCGTGGGAGTAACACATTCACGTCGCTAAACACAGGGGCTAATGTTTCCTCCGTCGTTCTGAGGGCTTCCTCAGGGCGAAATAGGGGCCGCAGAATGGCGGCCGAAACGTTGGCACATGATTTAGGACGCGGCGTCTTCGGGCAGCTAAGCAGCTACTGACTACGGCCGCGGAAGCCAGCGCTCTCAACAAATTCACGTGTTCTGTGATTATTCAACTCTCCGACTTAATTTGAATAGCGATTCTTTACTCACAGATAAAAACGAGAATATTCATGTCCTTGAACAACCTTTTTTCGCCCACATAAATACGAAGCCGGAAAGTAAGGTTGCAAGATATTTTAAATATACACTACTGATATATTTAAATGAAACGTACATGAAAAATAGTATAGTTATTGTACCATTTTTAACATAATTACATGTACTTTAATATATTTTATTAACCGAGGGACGATGTTTGCCATTAATAAGATATGTACGTTTTCACGGCTGGATAATATAATCAATGCCTTCCGGGCTGGATAGCCATGGTCTATTGGGCATTTTGTGCCCAAACGTTTCATCTGCGACTACGGCAGACATCTTCAGTCGCTACTGGAACACGGCGTCCTTTCAGATAGCTTACGGGCGACTGGTAAACATTTCTTATTTGTTTACGGCGCCGGGGCACTAGTGATTGTCGGCCGGGGAGGGGGCTGATGTTAGCTATTCTTTCGTCGTAGGGGAGTGTTAAGTGTTCATGCTGCTCGCCTTCGCAGAACGAACAATTACTTCTGGCGCCGCAAATCCGTAGTTCTGAAGCACGAGTTGCCCGGCAGTGCGCATGACGCCCCGCCGATTTCCTCTACAAACGTGTAAGAAGGACTGATTGCCACCACTGACCTACGCTGCCGTGAAACACATCTCTTACACACACCGATGGTCTCTTTCCGTGAAGCATCGAAAACGACCCTTTCTGTTTGCTGTTCACACGATTAATACTCCATTTCCTTCAGACCCGGCCTCAGTTTGGGGTTTACCTTCCCCGGTGAGTTGCTTAAAGCTCCCCGTAGGCTCCACCCTTGCACTGAGAAGGGTAGCGCCCCTCGCTTTCTTCGCATTTCACCCTTCACCCTCCTCCGTTAGTGCCCCATTTCGGTTCCAAGCCTAAGCTTCCGGTGCTTTGCCGCTCACTTCATGCAGTCACCGGAATATGTGCAGAGAGGGTTTCGTCACCTCCGATGGAAGTACCGGAATAATCTATAGCGCTTCGCCCTCCACGAGAGTGTTATCTTTAACGTGTATTATTTTGAATGAGTTACAGGTTTGAGCGCTTTGGTTTTTAACAATAGGTCCAAAAAACGTACCCTTGTATCGTTGTTGGAAAGGGCTTGGAGGAATTATGTAACGAATAACAAATTTCAAATCGAATTCTTTCAAGACAAAATGAAAATTTGAACAGAAAATAATGAATCTGTTACAGGTGGCATAAACTCAATGTAATATATATGTAATGATTTGTGATGTTTTACGATTTTAAATCGAATAACTGATTTATAAGTGTTGATTTTGAAACAGAAAACAATATATGGAATTGGGAATATATAGCCCGAAGTATTTGGAGACTTCATATTACATACACAACCACAAATTTAATGACTTCCAAGAATAGTTAATTCCTCAAAAGATTTAACTTTCTGACAATTTGTTCTTTGCAAATAATAAGTTGATTAACTTTCTCGCAGACATGATGTATTGAAGTCACGTACAATACTTTTTTACATGACAGTAGAGTTACGGGAATATATAAGTTCATCGTGTCCTTGTTAAATGAGGCCGTCTAAGTCTCTAATAATATAAAACTTGCGAAATGATTTTCTGAATAGAGATTTGTGGTAATTTGTGGATATTTTGAAGAAAAAAATCATATTAATTGGCCATAATGTCAATATATAAATAATCTTCAGGAAAGATGTATAATATACACACAAATTCAATAATGTTTTTTACCATTTCATACTTATAAATTAGTAATATCTTATTTTAACTCATTTGTAATAAAGAGATAGTAAATTTATATTACTAATTTGTTTGTGATGAGATTTGTTTGTCATTAATGTACGTATTAATTCGTCGTAATCACAATTTTATTGAAAGAATGAAATTGTCACAAGGCTTGTGACATTCATGTTCTGTGAAGAGATGAAGTCTGGGAAGTCACAGAATATACTATGACAGCGTGAAACTATTGCTTACAAATTCTTGAATTGTTAGTTCATGTGTACATTGTATAGAGATCAGTGTAGATCGATTCGTTGGTTTCCGTTTTCTAAAGATCTGCTTCCGTCTAATAGAGTTCGCACGAGGTATCAGTGCACTCGTCGACAGTAAAATGTGCGAGAGAGACAAACGAGAAGGGGCCTAAAGAAAGTACAACCATTTAATGTAACGTCTTAATCGTGAGAGTTACAGACACGTCATCGACTTCCTGTCGATTGCTTCTTAGGAGAAATGATCGTAGTTATGAACACAGCTTAGTCAAGTCCTATGATCTTCTCTAAACGTGAAGAAGTTATCAATGCTAATATCTTAATCAAATTGGTTTCCAGACTCATTGTCTACTGTACAGTGGTATCTTGTCTACTGAACTGCGCTATCTTTAGTCCATTTGTAGTTTAAGGCCATAATAATCTATTGTCCACTTCAATATTTTCCAGGTTTTTTATATCCAGTTTAATTATTGCCCATCACAGAATGATGCCCATATAGTACATTTCCTACTGTAGATATTTAGTACACATTGTATATCGTTTAAGACTTATATTAGTTTACAGACAACACGTATTAATTCAATCAGTAAATATTTGACAGTTAACATGCACATTTATATTTGATATTCACATAAAGTGAACTTTTTAATTCCTTCCCGCAATATCATTTTGGATGTCTTCATTGTACAGTATAATCTTGTAACTAATAGTCCGAAAACATACATGTATTATTATTATTATTATTATTATTATTATTATTATTATTATTATTATTATTATTATTATCTTTATATTCTTGACATATGTCGATCATATGTTCAATTTGAATCTGGTTTACGATGTAGGCTTTGCGTATTGGATATTGAACATTCTGAGCACACCAGACAGTTGTAACATCAATATATCGTTGTTCCTCTGATAGTTTTTTGAGTATTCGAGATATTTCTATATTGTGGCATGATTCGTGTCGATCAATCTATGAAACTTGCAATGCCAGCCCGCGACAAAATTATTTGTTCTTTGTGATCAATTAAGTGTGTGTAATTAATATCATATACTACATTCCACAAAGATGAGGGAATCGCGGCGGTACAGCCGCACGCGCAACTGGCAATGCACAGTAAAGGTGAGTAAATAATGTTCCTTCATTTCAGTACGGTATTTCTACTCTCTGTGATCGTTGTTTCATGTATGAATATTACGTAGAGTTTGATTTTCTGCCATTTTATTTAAAATGTCTCTATAAGTCAATATAGTCTCCAATACCACTATCCCTCTCGCTTCATGTTCACTGAGAAAGGTTTGCATTAGAAAATCTTTGTAGTATGTACAAGAAAAGTGACAAAAGATAAATTGGTCGGTAATTTTGAATATCATTTTTGGGCCGTTTATGGATTGTCGAACAATATTGGTTGAAGAACTTTTTAAATCAACATTCTCTACAAGATTCGTCGTCCACGTGGTCGTATTTTTTACTATATTCCACATGACTTTAGTTGTGTTTTTGTAGTTTAAAATGGCGTCGTGTTTCATGTTGTTAACCTACCTTATGACTTAACGATTTTTTTTAAAAATAGAAGTGGAAATTTCGAGATATCTTATGTTTAATAATGAAATAATAATAATAATAATAATAATAATAATAATAAATAAACAAACTACATTATCTAACTGTGAGAACCTGGACAACGTGGAGGAAGAAAACGCGGCAAGTACTTCTGATGCCACTTCATCGGCTGGCTTGTCTGCCCGAGATACACAAGAGACTGCTGACAGAGGTCATCTCACCGAAAACAAATCTCGAATTAGTTGGACACGAGAAATAAACATGGATATGACAATGGCATTTTACCATAAAAACAAATGCGAAGATACGCTACGAACAAGGTACAGATAACTTTGTCATTCATTTCTCCGAAGTTTATAAACACAATAGTCATTGTTGCTAACGTGGAGGGTAAATCTGCATTCTAATAAGGAGAAAATGTGCATAATGGACATAAAATTTGGGATATTTCAAGGAGACTCTTTCAGCCTTGTGGTTCTGTCTATCCTTAAATTCGTTGTCATCATTGTTAAACAATAGTACCATTGGTTACAAAATTACTTCATCAGATCATAAGACGTAAAGTCATCTTTTATTTATGGACCTTCTGAAGCTTTGTGCTGGATCACATACCTTAATAGATACAGCCAAAATCTTCAGCCAAGGTATAAGGAGGCGTTTCGGTTTGGATAAATGCGCTATCATAAGCATACGGAAAGGTAAAACAGAAAAGTTGGATAAAAATGTTCAAGGCATACAAGAAATGCAACCTGATTCTGCTTAGAAATATCTCGGAACACAACAGTTTAGGAAACATGATTACAGCTAAATTAGACATGAGTTTACCGAGAAGAACACGAGGATAACCAAGATACTGAATGCGAAGCTAGCTGGGAAAACATAATTACGGCCATCAACAGCTGAGCTGTACCTATATTGATATATCGTTTTGGTATGAAAAAAGTCTGATGCGGATCT